CTCTCCCCCTCCAGTGTCAATTTTATAATATAATGCAAGGAAAACCAAGATTCAAAAGACAGCCAAGCATCTTAACATTATTCTCCCCTTTTCCCCATTCCAACCATGGCTCAATCTCTGTATCCCAGAACCCTGTTGTTCCAAGGTTGGGCATGTATCATTATTTACCTCTGTCCCACTTAGCTGTCTAATTGTTCTCCCATCTGCTTTGTTCTTCCATTTCCCTCTCCCTACTTGTATATTGCCCCCCTCCCCAGCACCCAAACTATCCTGTGTCTAATCCCTGGCTTATGCTTCACCTTTCCCTCCCTCCCCTCACCAACCCCCAACAACAATATGTTTTTTAGATTTTAAAAAATACAGAACTTTCCCAGTTGTTCTCATTTGTCTCTTGTGACATTACTGTTAATCTGCTTTAGATGACAATTTACACAAGAAATTAGTTTTCTGATCAAACAGTTCATGCACAGATTGTTCCATGACATTGTAATCTCTGCAGTGTGTCAGCGCTCTCCCCATTTCTACCCAGGGGTCCCTGTTTCCATTTGTACACTTTTCCTGCCCCTTCCTGCTATCTTGTTTTTGTTTTGGGACAAGTCCTAGTATGACGTTGTGGGATAAATCACTGGACCATAAGGTCGATTTAGAGCACAAGATCAGCAGTTCAAACTCAGCGGCTGCTCCTTGGAAACCTATATAGGGTCTGTATGAGTCAGAACCAACTTCACTGCACTTAACAATAACAACAACTGCCCTTTTTGTTCTACTATAATTGATTGTTCCTAGGAGTACATTCCTCATGGGTGTTATAGGCAAGTCTGCTATTTGGTTGAGTTGGGCTTTTGGGTGTGGCTTCAGTTCCACATTAGAAGGGTGACTTATTAAGACCATTGTCTAGGGGTTCCTTCTAGTCTTTATCAGACTAGATAGATAAGTTTGTTTTTTGTTTTATGATTTTGAGTTCTATATTTTTCACCCATTCTATTTGGAACCTATTGGACTCCTGCTGTGACGGACGGCACTGTCAGTTTAAACTACCTAGTTGGCAGCTAAAACTCACCAGCTGCTTTTTGGAAACCCTATACAGCAAAGGAGCTCTGGTAGCGTAGTGGTTACAAATTGGGCTGCGAACCTTAAGGTCAGCGGTTCGAAACTACCAGCTGCTCCGCGGGAGAAAGATGAGGCTTTCTACTCCCGTAAGGATTTACACCCTCAGAAACCCTGTACAGGGTCGCTATGGGTCGGACCCGACTCGATGGCACTTAACAACAACAACAACAACATACAGTTTTGCAGTAAGGTGCAATCGACTCGACAACACTAAACAACAACAAAAACATTGTGTCCCAGTGATTCCTGATACGGTGTTATAGGATAAACTCAGTTTGAACCACACAGTCAGCAGTTCAAACTCAAGCAGCTGCTCCACAGAAAACCCTGGGTTGGAACTGACTCGATGGCACTTTACAACAGCAACATTGTGTCCCTGGTCAGAATTGTTAATAGAGGTAGCCTGGCACAGTATAGTTCTGGTCTCAGGCTAGAGGAGGCTGTGGTTCCTGTGGGTCATTATTCCTTTGAACTAATTGCTTCCTTAAGTCTTTGGTTTCTTTACTCTCCTTTACTCTGAGTGAGAAGAGACCTGTAATTGTATCTTAGTTCACAGCTTTTAATAAGCTAGACCATATTTATATTGTCTTTGTTTACTATAAACGCTTTTGTGTAGTTTTGAGCCACTTGATCTAGATTTCTATAGCCATAAAGCACAGTTCAAGCACAGTCCCATAAGGTGTTCAGTTATGTCTAAGAATTTTCCATAGCTGTGCACCTGTGTTTTTTGAAAACTGGATACTGTCTCTGACATCACCTGAGTGTCTTTTTATTTAAGTGTATGATTTTTAACAAAAATTAAAGGAAAAACGTAAGGTTATGTTAAAAATTAAAGGAAAAACAAGGTTATGTAAATATATAAGGTTACAACAGATAATTAACAATGAAGGAAAACATTGAAATCTCAAAATTGAAAGTTTTTGCTTTGATATTTTCAGTATAATGCAAAATTCCTTAGTTTGCCGTAGATAAGTAACTTTGGAGAACTCAGATCTATTTTTTAATGCATGAGCTGTTTTATGTACCTGTATATATTGTCATGGCTGTTTTGCTTAGGTAGTGTAATTAATGCATTATCTATTTATTATGAAACTTTTTAAATTTTTTTTTTTAGCTGACAACTGAAATGTTTGAAGCTGATCTTGAGAAGGCATTGTTGCTAAGTAAATTAGAATATGAAGAGCGCAAAAAGGTATTTACATATTTGTTGATTTGGACCTTTCAGAAGTTTAAGAGGTCAAAGGTTAAAATAATTTTTCCTGAATTTTAGATGAAAGTACTAAAGTTTGTCTAAAACTTCATCATTTTAACAAAGTAATACCTAAATGTTTTCATAATAAAATAGATTTTTCAAGTTTTGAGAGACAACAGGAGTATGTCGACTAAGCTTTGTCTAGTAATTTAGAATGTTTCATTAAAAATATTCCAAGTCAATTGGAAGAGTGGGAATGAAATTCACAGCAGAGAATTATTTTAACTTACTTTAAATGAACATAGAAAATAACTTGATTTCAAAAAATTAAGTATGGGCATTGCAGTCAAGGGACATTCATTAAATCCTCTGCTGTATATGCACTAAAATTAACTGAATGGGAAGCCTTTCTGATATTTTGGCCCAGTGAAATTCAGCATTTGTCACTGAACCTTAATGTTGGACTGTGTGCTGAAATGCATTCTTCAGCTTATGGTTGGTTGTAAGTACATTTAAGGAAAATGTAGTATTGATTTGCAGTTTCTGTATTTTTTCCTTGTTTGAACATTTCTTCTTTTTTTTTTTTTTTTCAAAGTTTTTTTTTTGTGTGTGACTTAAATGATAGTTTACATAGGAGAGTATTGGTTTGACACCCATCATTTCATTGCAATGACTACAATCTCCTTCATGCAACATCATTTGATAGTGTTTACTTCTGTTCCCTCTTTTGTCTGTTTGTGTGTGTGTTTTGGGGGATGTACACAGAAGCACTCAGGAATATATAATTGTTTAAACAACCAAAGGACACATTCTGCAAACTTGCCTCCTTGCTGCCAGCACACAGCCTTTCTCTTTCCTTGAGTCTATCGTCCTTAGCTGCTCTTTCTCTCTCCATGTCCTCATCTCTGCCTCCATCTCTGGTGTCGCTGTTTCTCTGAATAGGGTCTCACATTCCGCCCGTGCTCTTGTGCCTTGATAGTTCTAGGGTCCTCTGATCCTGGACTGTAAGAATAACTACTCCCCCGTTTTTGTTATAAAATGTCTACCTTTATTTACAATTGTGACAGTTACAATTAGTTATGATAACAATTCCTCACTATTGAATCATAAGTATCTTATCCCCATCTCTCTTCACCAGACCCATCAAGACAAGATGAAAACTATTCAGTGGGGACTCTTTTCTTCCCCCACACACTCTTAAACTAAACTCCCTCCTGAAACCTTGTAAGCCAGTCACTTTGTGCATTTATTGCCCCCTCATTTTAGGTAGCCAGTATCTAAGTTGCCCGTCCCTGTCAACCCTGGGTACAGAGGGGATAGGATTGATACTTGATGTGAAGACTCCTTCCCTCTCAGTTGATATTTTGAGCTACTACATCTATAGGTAAAGATAATAAGTCTTCTCTCTATAAGTTGGTATTTTGAGCTACTATATCTATAGGTAAAGATAAAGTTCATCAAATTGTAGCAATTTACACTTGTTTCCTTTGTCAAAAATTGTTTATCTTCCTCTAGTCAAGTTCTGATCATCAAGCCATCAAGGCTGGGTACTATCTACAATTTTCGGCATTCTTGTGCATCTCACCTCACTTCATATCAGCTGCACGCTTCACTCTCAGCTGTAGCCCTCTGTGGCTATATCCTTGTCAATGGGCTCAGGAGTCCCTAGGTGTCACCACACTTCGGACCAACCATCCTTTCCTCATCTTTCTCTCATCTCCTAGTCAACTGGAGTCTATGAACATTTATTCTTTATTATCATTTAAAAATTTAGCCCTTTACACTTGATGGGATATTTTGTCCATTTACTGTGATTACTTAGTGATTGATCATTTGTGGTCACTGGTCTATGTTATGTTAAAATGTGACCTTTTGGCTCCTTCATCCAAGATAAAAGGAAGAGAGAAAATAAAATGCACAGTAGATGATTTTAGTATTTATAGATCAAGTGGGAAAAAAAGTTGCAGGTGAAATGAACTTTGTATTGCAAAAACAGTGTGAAGACCATGTCTGATTTCCTCTGGCTTCACAAGGAAGAAAGAGAGAATCAAGTTTAAAATCAGCACAAGGCCAATTCTTATTATGCAGAAGTCAGACATGCCTCTACCCTATAACCTTCTTTACCCTATGTTGACACCAACTATCTCTCCCACAGCACTCTTTGCTTCCATCTGGGTTCTACAATCCATTGCAATGGCCACACAGAACTCATAACAATAGTCACAATTATGGGGTTTATTAGGAAAGTAACCAGGGTACAATTCAGGATCAGAAAGGACACAGCAGTTCTCCAGTCAGGAACGCCTCTTGTCTACCATACTGCAGGCATGTCTCACTCTTGTCTTCATCCTCTCAGCCATGTGGCCCCGTGGCTTCTGCCCTGCTCAGGCAAGTGTTATCAAGCCTCTTTAAATGTCCAAAGGGCACATTCTGCAAGCCAGCTTCATAGACACACAGCTTTATTCAGTCCATGGGCCTAGATGCCTACAGGTACTACCTCATGCTGCCACCTCTGTTGCTTCCCTCTGTTGTTGCTGCTTTTCAAGGTAGGGATCTCATACTCCCCTCATGTTCTTCTTTCTTGATGATCTGGGGATCATCTATTTCTGCTTCTGCAATGGTTCCTTTTAAACCTAGCTGTATGGCAAATTGAGCCAATCCCAGCCTTAGAGTTCTGTACTCCTAATTTGCATGACCCCACCCAGTCAATTGGGTGGGAATTAAGATGACATTAGATAGAAAAGCCATGTCAAGTAAACTCAAGGTACCTCATGTATACTGCATCCCGTCCTCACTTAATCAACATGTTTAGGTTTCAAAGACCAGGTCGTTATGTGAAAACAATGGTATGTTAAAATGAAGGATGACCATATGAGATCACAAAATGGAGGGTGACTGTATCATTATATATAACTGCTAAGTTACATCATAACTGCCAAACCATTGAGAATCGTGGCCCAGCCAAGTTGACACAACATTAACCTTGAAAGCCAGTGCTAATCTTGCCTCACACCTTGTAGTTTATTACTGCCAGACGTATATTGTCACTGCACAAAGATAATTAAATAATAATTTTTTACTTTTGTTGTAAATGTGAAATACCATAGAATGAGATTGTTGATAAATGAGGAGTAGGTGTATGAGGGGTCTTCAAAAAGTTCATGGAAAGATTTTATTATCTTTTAATTCCATTTTTCCAAGAATTTTTTGAAATCCCCTCATATGTTTGTTCTATTTTTCTTATTACTGTTAACCTGAATTATCAAAAATGTTACTTGTTCTTTTAGATACCAAACAATTAGAAAAATGGGTAAATCTAAATTGAGTGTGATTTAATAATTTAAATGGGCCTTCAGGTTACACTTGCTGAAATAGGAGATAAAATTTAGCAAATGGAATGCTATGTTAAAATAATGATTTATTGTTAGATGTATATCTAAATAGTTAAACTAAAAGAATTAGTTGTATCTATAAAGGAAGAGTAAGGAGTTCTAATAGCATAGTGTTTACAAGTGGGCTGCTAACCTCAAGGTCAGCAGTTTGAAACTACCAGCCACTCCCCAGGAAAAAGATGAGGCTTTCTGCTCCCATAAAGAATTACAGCCTCAGAAACCCAATTCAGGGTCGCTATAAGTTGGAACCGACTCCACAACACCGACTCTACCACCACCATCATAAAGGAGAAGTAGAGTAGATGGAGTTGATAAAGGAAGAACTGTCAAGAATGGGAGGAGAAAATGGAATGTGTGACTAATTGCCTCCATGAACAATTATTTCCTTTTCCATGAGACCAGAACTGGATGGTGCCTGGCTACCATTACTGATTTTTGATTAAAGATTTTGTAGAATAATTCTGACTGAAAGGAGTAAAGTGAAAAAAGAATTTCAAATTCTGATGGAATTTGGATTTTATGGAACCATGGTGGCTGGCTGAATCTCTGAAATTATTACTCTGAGATAATCTTTAAAATTTGAACGAAAAATGTCCCCTCAACTATAGTTAAACTAGAACAGAATGTCTGCCCTGAACATTGTGTACTTTTTAAGTCTGTCTTTTGGAAATTAAACTGATAACAGCAACTAAAAAAATTAGATAAGAACCTTAATGGGCCAGTGAGTTTATATTAATGGAGGGGAGGAGCTTACTCAGAAAAGGAGAGAAAATTGTTTCACAACTTGAAAAATGTAATCCATGTCACTGACTTGTACATAGGAAAAACATGAATACATGTTTTTGCTGTGTATATTATCAACAACAACAAAATCAAAGGATTGAAAAGAGAAAATCCTGAAGAACTGGAAATGGAACCAACAGAGCAGAAATAATGAAAATGTTGACACATTGTGAAAAAAATATAACCAAAGTCACTGAAAGATTTTTGTAGAAATTGTTTATATGGGAACTGTATTTTCTATATAAACTTTCACCAAAAACATAATGAAATATATATTTTTTTAATGTATGCACTGTTTTCTTGGCACAATTATAGGCCTTGTGCCACAAAATATTAGTTTTATCAGACTTTAAAGACTCTTAGAGAATTGAGGGATTCTTCATATGATAAGGTTAATTTGATGTAGTCATTGAGTTTTATTCTAATAGTACTTTTTAACCTAAAGAATTTTCGAATTGATAAAAGTTTGGGATGACATTTTCTGTTCTCTTATGTAAGTCATTCACTAAATGCCTTTTGAGTAGCTAAAATGTAATAGGCACACAGAATAGAAAAAGACGTGGTCCCATACTATAAGTTTCATGAAGGGAGACATAATATATATTATTGAGAGATGTATGTTCTCAGTACAGTTGGAAATTAAGAAAAATGGAAAAAAATTTCTGTGCCTTTAATGGTGATGGGTTTTGAAAAAGAATTCTTAAAGAGGAGTCTTAATAGATCAACTAGTTAAATTCACCAGGTAGACAATAAGGAAGTAGACATGCCCAAGCAAAGATTACCAAGTTTTCAAGAAATGTGCATGTGAAAGAGTTTAGCATGTCTAAAAAACTAGAGCGTTAATGGAGATAATTATTGGAGGATAGGCTATAAAGAATTTTACATACTAGGTTAAAAAGATTGAGTTTAAACATCTGTTGTCACACAGCTATTGAATATTTTGAGTTTTTCGATTAATTTTAGATTTTAGAAACTTGTGCTGTAGCAATGTAAAAGTTGGATTGCGGGACTAAAATTAGAGACTGTTGCAGTGTTCAAGCAAAAGAAGACAGATATGTCAGAGGTTATAAAAGAAAAGAAAGTATGAGGGGGGTTAAAAAATTTCATAGAAAAATGGAATTAAAAGATATTGTAATTTTTCCAAAAACATTTGAAGCTCCCGTGGAGATTTATATCTTTAGGAAATAAAGTCAACAGGACCTTGTGTCTAATTTGGATGTAGAGAATAAAGCAATAGTAGGAAAGGATGATTCAGGTTTTTAGTGGGGGCACTTGTGTAAATTATGGTGGTAGTAAATAAGGTTATTCCCAGAGTTACCTGAGGAAGGCAGAATGAATGAGATAGATGGAAAGACAACACATTTAGTTTGGAGACATTATTGAACATTCCAAGTGAGTTGTCCATATAAAAATCATCCGTATATAGGTAGAACTTTGGGTATGAAGAATAATAGGTATAAAACATAAGAAAAATAGATTAAAAAAGAAATAGTTAACAGCTACATTTTTACGAAGAAGGTTGGGGAAGATGAGCCAGTTAGGAAGACACAGAAGTAGTCTGAAATGGATAAGAAAATCAAGAGATGCTTTAAAATAAATATCTATTGGATTTGGCAGTTAGGATGTAGTTATCTTAATTTAGTGTCAAGAGAGTGGCACAAGCCCGATTTCAGCAGAACAAGAAATGAATTGACAAGAAATGACTCTAGAACATTGTCTTAAATTTGTTCTTGAAAGGAAGGAGAAGAAAAGGAAAGTGGCCCTAGGAGGAGGCTATAAGTCAATGTATAAAATTCTGTTTTTAATTACAGTGTTTAAGGTACAAGAGATAGAGCATATAAATAAGTAGATGCCCTTTGCCTAGGTTAAAGTTAGATTGTTTACTTTTTAACCACAAACAATATTAAGAACCATTACCTGTTGATGAATTGATGTTGCTAGTATAATCCAAGCTTAATTATTTTCTTATAATTCCTTCTAGGAGTATGAAAATTCTGAATATGTTTCAACTCAGTCAAAGGGTATGAATAAAAAGGATAAAAGAAAGAATCATCAGGGAAAAGACAAACCTCTGACAGTATCACTAAAAGATTTTCAATCTGAAGGTAATATATGTGTATGAAATGTATTGTTCTTGTGGAGTTATTTTTCCTAAGACTGTATTTGCTCTATTAGTTGTAAGTAAACTTTCTAATTAAAAAACATAAGTAATTGTTTTGTTGATGTGTTATTTAGAATATAAAAAATATAAACTTGTTTGGAAATAAGCTAAAACCATTAAAGTGATTGAAAACCAATAATTAAATACCCATAAAACTATTTATCTTTTTGTATTTTAAGTTTGCCCCTTTTCTAAAATCCACTGAAACTGACGTTTGTAGTTTCTGAGTTATCTTGAACACATTACTGTCCTTACACATGAAGTGATTTTGCCTACACTAGGCCAGGGATGTTGTTGTTAAGTGCAGTCGAGTCAGTTCTGACTAATAGTGCCCTGTCTCCAAGGAACAGTTGTGGGCTTGAACCGCTAACCTTGTGGTTAGCAAGTGAGTGCTTATTTTATAGCACCACACCAAGACCTCAGGGATGTTGTTGGTCAAGTTAGTGCCAGTTCATAACAACCTTGTATAGGGTTTCTGAGGAGCAGCTGGTGAGTTTGAATTACCGACTTTGTGGTTAGGAATCCAGTGTTTATCCTACAGTGCCACACTAGGTTTTTTAGACCCTAGGGATAGTATCTTTATAGTTCATCTGTAGTTGATCAGTCTCTTCAAGTTGTTTGCAGTTGCATATTAGAAACTTCAAAACCAATTTTCAGATTAAACTTAGTACTAGAAAACTTTATAATATCATTGTATTTTTTATTGAAACACAGAAAAAAGAAATTATAGTCTTGTCTCTGTTATCTAGTGTTACTATAACAAAAGTACCACAAGTGGGTGACTTGAACAAACAAATTTATTTCCTCACAGTTTGTTGTTGTTGTTGCTAAGTGCCATCGAGTCGGTTCTGACTCACAGCGACCCTATACAGGGTTTCCGAGGCTGTAAATCTTTACGGGAGCAGAAAAAGCCTCATCTTTCTTTCACGGAGCAGCTGGTAGTTTCGAACTGCTGACCTTGTGGTTCACAGCCCGATTCGTAACCACTACGCTACCAGAGCTCCTTTCCTCACAGTTTAGGAGGCTAGTAGTCCAACTTCAGGGTACTATTCTACAGAAACATTTTGTTTCTCTGTCAGTTCTGGAGGGAAGGTCTTTTTCTCTTTGGGCAGTCATCATGTGGCTTGGCATCTGTCTTCCCTTATCTGGACTTGCTAGTTTGTCCTACTGTCTTTTATGTTTCCAGAGATATTGACTCAAAATACCTGCCACATTAACATAACAAAGACAACCCTTTTTAAAAGAAACATTTATTGTAAATTGAGTGAAGGATAAGGTCATCAGTTTTACATTCAACAAATCATACACTTTGTTTAATCTCAGTAATTGCAATCCCCTCCATGCCACAGCAATTACCCGGCTTCCTCCCTTGGTTCTTATTTTGATTACACCCTCCTACCTAACCCTTCTCACTTTGTCCTTAGGTAAATGTTGCCCTTTTGATTTGAAATGATTTACCAATCCTTGATAAGCATACCTTACTAGTGTTGTTGTTCCCCCTATATACCTATCTGATGTTTGGCTGAAAATTTGGCCATGAGGGTGAGTTCCTTTCTGAAGGATGGTCGAGGGCCACAATCTGGTTCTTTTGGTTTCTTCTGACCAGTAGGCTATCTTTTAAAAAAAAATGTGAGTAATGTGGTCCCTTTCAGAGCAGTTGGTAGGGGTAGGCAGAAACCATCTAGTTTTTTTCATCTGAGGATCATGGAGATTGATGATCACATGTTCCATTAGTTTATTGGACTAATTGATTCCAAGCATCTTCAATCTCATCACTTTTCTTTCTATCCAGCATTTTCTTTCTTCTTCTGCACATAGAAAAACCAATAGTTGTATTTTGATGGCCACACATGTGCTTTTAAGACCCCAGAAGGTACTCACCAGTGTGGAATGTATAACATTTTCTTTGTGAACTATGTTATGCCAGTTGACCTCGTATCCCCTGAGAACTATGGTCTTGCGTTCTTAGGCCCAGCAACTCACTGCCTTAAGATGTTTGATAATATCCAAAGAGTTTTCATCATTTTGTCCATTGTATGTACTACCGCATTCATAGTTGTGTTTGCAGAAAAGCTAAATAAATACCCATGTACAAATACTGTCTTTTAAATACTTTATATAAGGAGCTCTGGTAGCATAGTTGATTATGAATTGGGCTGCGAACCTCAAGGTCAGGAGTTTGAAACTACCAGCTGTGCTGTGGGAAAAAGATGAGGCTTTTTGCTCCCGTAAAGGTTTACAGCCTTGGAAACCCTGTACAGGGTCGCTATGAGTTAGAACTGCCTCCACGGCACATAACCACCACCACCACCAAAGACGGAGTCCTGGTGTGGCACTGTGTGTTAATGCACCAGATTGAAAAGCCGTTTGAACTGCAAGGTTGGCAGTTCAAGCTCACCAACTGCTCCTTGGAAACCCTATACAGGGTCGCTGTGGGTCAGAACCGACTAAATGGCACTTCACAACAACAACTACCAAAGACATACATTTGTGGATACACTCCCATTCTTCCATATCCTTTCATTCTGTCATGACAGAACACATTCTGTCATCCATGTATCTACCCACAGAACACTGATGTTACAAGGTTGTGTATGTGTCACCGTTTACCTCTGTCTCCTTTAGTCCATATATACCTTCCAGTGTCTTCACCTGTCTTCATCTTCTGCCAACCTCCTCCTCCTTGAATATCACCCTCCCTGTCACCCGAGTTAACTTGTATCTACCCTCTAATCAATTAATTAGTCTCCCTTTCTTCCCACTCTTGGTAACCATCAAAGAATGTTTCTTTTAGTATGAAAATGTTTTCTTGAGTTTTTACAGTAGTAGTTCCATACAATATTTGTCCTTTGTGATTGACTAATTTTACTCAGCATAATGTGCTCCAGGTTCATGCACTATTATGAGCTGTTTCTCAAAGTCATTAATCACCATTGCATTGTGTGTATGTACCAAAGTTTATCCATTCTTCCATTTGTGAACATTTAGGCTGCCTCTATCTTTTTGCTATTGTGAATAGTGCTGCAGTGAACATGGGTGTGCATATATCTACGTGTTTTCTGCCTCTTATTTTTTATGGATATTCACCAGGTAGAGGAATTGCTGGGTTATATGTCTGTTTACTGGTGTGGCGCTGTGGGATAAAGCACTAGATCGTAAGGTCAATTTGAACCACAAGGTCAGCCATTAAACTCACCTGTCGCTCTTTGGAAATCCTATACAGAGTTGCTATGGTCAGAACTGACTCGACGGTACTTAACAACAACAATAACAACCTGTTTCTCACTTTCTGAGGAAGCGCTATACCATTTTCCACAATGAGACAATCCATTCTTAAATGGTATTATAGCCATAGGTATAAAGTTTAGGAGTATAGCACATATTTTGAGGGACACAACTAAGTCCATAACAACCATCTACTAAACTTATTTGAAGACAGACCACAAGCAAATTATTATTACTAGGACACTTTATTTTTAATTTGGGAAATAGTAAACACCTTTAATCTCTACTCTCTAATGTGGTAGCCATTATCCATGTGTGAGTTTAAATATAAACTAAAATTAGCGAAGGTAAAATACTGAGTTCCTCAGCTGCATTAGCAATGGTTCACATGTTCAGTAGCCACATGTAAATAGTGGCTTCTATATTGAACAGTACAGATAAGTACATTTCTGTGAGCATAGAAAATTTGACAGCTTTGCACCTGTACTGTCTGAATAATTGCTGACCAAATGGACAGCTGTTCATTCATTATCAAAGCAATATATTTGATTCATGTGAATTTAGCACTTGAACATTTAGCATTTGTTCTGTGAGGATCAATAATACCATACAATAATCTCAAAATTAAAAACCTATTTTCAGAAATGTACCTTTTTGTGAAATGAGGAATACATTTAGAAGGTTTTATTGCTTTCCTTTGAGGATCAAGAAAGTTTCTCCTATAGTCTGCCTCTCTCTCTAAGTGTTTTTATTTTGGGGTTAAAAGAATGTTTGCATGTTAAAGTAAAATTTTCAAAGTTAGTAAGAATGATTTTACATAAGAAGTGTATTCCATTACAAACCAAGCTCCTCACCCCTCAAAAAAAAACATGAAAAGTGCTTTTAAAAACAATTTTTATGTATAATTTATTAAGTAGTATGTAAATTCATTAACTACACCCTGATTACACAGTGGTTAAAGTGCTAATCTGCTAACCAAAAGGTTGGGGATTCAAACCTTGCAGCTTTTCTGTGAGAAAAAGATGTGCAGTCTGCTTCCATAAAGATTTACAGCCTTCAAAGCCCTGTGGGGCAACTATACTATATAATAATTTGTTGTTGTTATTGTTGTTTAAGTTTCACCCAGTTGGTTCCAACTCATTGCAACCCTATATAGAGTTTCTTAGGAGCAACTGGTGGTTTTGAACTGTGTGGCGCTGTGGGTTAATGCGCCAGACTGCAAAGTTGTTTGAACTGAAAGGTTGGCGGTTCAAGCTCACCAGCTGCTCCTTGGAAACCCTACACAGGGTTGCTATGGGTCGGAACTGACTCGACAACACTTCACAACAACAACAACAATCTTTCAGTTAGCAGTCCTGTACTGATCCTACAGCACCACACCAGGACTCATTTTCTACTTGAACCATTAATAACCTCATTTCATACTCTAATATTAGGACAGCTATGGAGAGGGCCCTTGTGTCTTGGCATTAATCTTCCCCGAGTCTAGGAGGTTTTCAATGCAAGGACCCTGAGTCCATAGGACAAGCTCCACTCCTGACTCTTCTTGGTGGTGATAGGTCCCTCCTCCTCTACTCATTACTCTTTCCTTTTATTTCTTGTGAGATAAAAGATGATTTAGGCCATACTCCAGGGAAACTCTCCTTAGATCAGATCAGGGTCGTGATCTGAGTAAGTATGTTGCATGCCATTTTAATCCTTTTATTGGCTGATTACATCATAAGGAATAATTACATTATTACCCAATTGCCAAACTACTAAAAATCATGGCTCACATATTTTTGGGAGACACAATTTAGTCCATGACTGTGGAATTCAAATATTTAAATAATACCCTTTGTATAGATGGTATTTGCTAAGTTATAATACTTGGTCTACAAGGCCTGGTCCCTAGGATGAGCAAATTTTAGCATTTTATCCCTTGGAAAAGGAGCCCTGGTAGCCACAAGGTCAGCAGTTCAAATCTACCAGTAGCTCTGCAGGAGAAAGATGAGGCTTTCTGCTCCCCAAAAGATTTATAGCCTTGGAAACTCTATGCAGGGTTGTTGTGAGTCAGAACCAACTCAGTGGCACATCACCACCACCACCACCGTTCCTTGACAAGTAAGTCAGATCTCAGCCCTAGAAAATTCCTGATGACCTATAAAACTCTTAACTATAATTTGGAAATTATTTTCATATATTAACTTGTTTGCATTAATTTCCTTCAATGAAATTTCACCATTTTTTTTTTCTTCCCATTTACAGATCATGTTAGTAGAAAGTCTGAGGTAAGTCTTACTTTAACCATCTTTAATCTAGAAAATGCTTGATTATGTTAAGAATAATACTTTAAATGCTCAACAGTCGTCTTTGACATATAGCATTGGAAGGATAACCCATAAGCTTATTTTACATTAACCTAATAATGGTTCTAAAGATTATAAGAGTATAAAATACGTTATGGTGGTGGTGGTTATTTGTGTCATTGAGTTGCTTCTGAATCATAGTGTCTCTGTTTTAGGGTTTTCAAGGCTATAAACCTTTACGTGAACAGAAAGTCTCATCTTTCTTTCTAGGATTGGCTGGTATATTCGAACTGCTGACCTTGCAGTTAGCAGCGCAACTCATAACCACTGTGCTATCAGGGCTCCTTTAAATTATAGTAAAATTATAATTATATTCATGACATATAGTATCATATGGCTTTATTCTAAATTTTTTGTGTGCTGAACTTAAAATTTTAGAGAAGAGGGTGAAACTTATTCTGAGGCACTGTCTTCAGGTATTTTGGAATTGTGAAAGTTGGGACGTATAAGCAGTGATTCTATAGTTTAACCAATGTGTGAGGTTCACTTGATTGATTATATGAGGGGGCTTCAAAGAGTTCATGTAAAAATTCATTATCTTTTCATTCCATTTATCCACAAATTTTTTAAAGCCCACTTATAGTTCCTAACTTTGTTGGTTACTTTGGTGCTATTTTTAAAAGATTCCAGTACAGATTATATAAACCCTTTAGAATTGGAAGATGACATTATTATAAGATATCCTTTAATATTTAGTAAGGTGCAGGCACATTTGATTGTGTCCTTTGATTTTGCTTCGCTGTATTGGTCATCACAGCATGTGCTTTCTTTTTATTTCTATGTCACATTTTTTAAATTTTCACAGTATTTAAAACTTTTTCTTAATTCTGTCATATAATTAATAGACTATAGTATAGTATAAGCATAAGCATAACTTTCACATGTCGTAGGCCAAGTTTTCTAGAAAAGCAAAACCAGTGAAACACGTATGTATACACAAAGAGAAGTTTATTTTCGAGGAAATGGCTTACAATTGTAAAGTCCAGGTTCCCAGAGAGAGCATTTCCCGTATGTCCGTTATATTTGGAACAGACCACACCCCCAAGGAAGCATCCCTTCGGTTGATTGGCTGCTGTGAGCAGCCATTCATCATACAGTTAACTATGCCTGTATTACGTTTCATCACCATGAGAGAATAAGCACATCTTAACTGCTAAACCATGGGAATCCTGACTTAGTCAAGTTGGCACAGAACCCTAACGATTACAGTCTATCCTTGTCAACACTTATAAACTATATGCATAATCTCTAAATTCAGAAAATTATAGAATCATACTTGCACCTAACATGATATAACTAAAACACATACAATTGAAAATGCACTCGACCCATTTACATCTTATATGTCACAGATGAACAAAGCAAAACTATTTGATGCAAACATACAACATAAAACAAAAAAGAATATATTCATTTAAATGTCCAAAGGGCACATTCTGCAAGCCAGCCTCCTGCACATAGGCACACAGCCTTACTCAGTCCATGGTCCTAGAGTCCATAGCTGCTATGTCTCTTCATGCCACTGCTTCTGCTGTTGTCTCTTCTGTTGCCACTTTCCCAGGCAGGGATCTCACGTTCCACTCATGCTCTTTCTTCTTGATGCTCCTGGGATCGTCTCTTCCTAAAATGAGAGATTAACTGTTCTCTGCTTTTAAGTACATGTCTTCTACAATTACAGATTTGACAATAACAGTTAATCCTGCTAACAGTTACTCACCACTGAAATCATAAAATTCAATCAGCATCATCCTCTTCCCTCTTTCACCAGACCTGTCTGGGAAAGAGTAAAACTGTTCAATGAGGATTCTACATATCTCCTTTATTCTGAAACTAAGCACATCCATGAAACCTTGTAAGCCAGCCATTTCATGCCTTTATAGCCTGCCCTCCGCCCACCCATTTTTGAAAGCCAATGTCTAAATTGCCCATTTCTACCCATCCAGTGGAGTCCTGATGTGGCACTGTGGGTTAATGCGCTGGAAGCAGTCGGTTTGAACCACGTGGTTGGTAGTTCAAGCTCACCAGTCGCTCCTCAGAAACCCTCTACAGGGTTGCTATGGGTTGGAACTGACTCGAAGGCACGTAACAGTAACAACAACAAATCAACCCAGTACACTGAGGACACAAGTGTGTTTCTTGATCTGAAGAATCTTCCTTTCTGGTTGGAATTTTGAGCAAGTGTATCTATAAGCAAAAGTCCAGTTTATCAATATGTAACAGTTGACACTTGCTCACAGTAAACATCTTTATCTTCATCTAGTTAGGCTCTGGTCAGAACTCAACCCTAGACATCTAAGCTAGTTCAGATGGGTACCAGTTCACACGCCTCCATGCACTTCAGACCAGCTGGCCCCTTCACTCTCAGCCCTACTCTCCAGGGGCTAGGTCAGTGCCTGTGGGCTCACAAGTTCACATAACTTCCTAAACTTCAGACTAGCCAGCCTTCCTTTTCTCTCTCGTAATTAAGGTCAATGGGTGTCAATAGAATGCATCCAAACTCAGTCCATGTCTTCATCGCTACAATTCCCTACTTCCACTCCCAAGTAGACCCAGGTGGTCATCAGTGGGCGTATGGCATGGGTCCTTAATTTTCAGTCCTAGAAGGGGATTATCTCTAATGGGCTGGCTTGATACCTCCAAAGCAAACAGCTTACTTGAAACTCAAAAAGTTTGCTTTTTTTTCTGCATGAATCTCCTGTTCTCTCAGAAGTCTGGGTTGGTTCGCCTGTCTTTTAAAATGCAAATGTTCCAACTCTGAAGGTTTTGGGTGGGGTTCAGGATTCCACCTAAAGCGTGGGCACCCCCATACCCCTGCCACCACACTCTACAAAGGCTTAAAGCAAAAAGCCTATTTTTTCTGGGTACTTCTAACTCCCCTTTTAGCAAATCCAGTCAAGTATAGGCTGAAGGCCCTTTTACAAGATCTCTCTGTAATCCTAATTCTAAATATTCATTTCTATCACCATTGTAAATCTATTTTATACTAGTAGGCAGGACAAATTAGCATTTATAAGACAGTCAAACACATAAACCTTTTAAAAGTACTCTAGTTCAATCTTTACTATTCCCTTGTACTAACCCCATTCATATGCATATGGCTTTGGGCATCTGGTAGGGTGGATTCTAGTAGGCCCTGACCCTCTGTCAGCCATCCTGTTTAACCAGCTTGACATGGAATCCAGGCAACTCCAGAGCTACTTCTCTCCCCTCTGTTTAAGCATTTTATCCCCTTCATTGTTTTCAGCCACTATAGCTCACTGGTAGTGTAGTGGTTACGAATCGGCTGTGAAGTTCAGCAGTTCGAAACTACCAGCTGCTCTGCGGGAAAAAGATGGGGCTTTCTGCTCCTGTAAAGATTTACAGCCTCAGAAACCCTGTACAGGGTTGCTATGGGTCAGAACCGACTCAACGGCACTTAACAACAACAACAAAGCTTGCAAAATCCTAACTAACTGTCTAAAAATCAAAAGTTCACTTCTCATGGCCTTTGGTTCTTTCTCTTACAAAAAAACCTCATACTCCCATGAGTCCAGAGCCATAGCAATGAATCACGCTCCTGACGTCAACTGCAAAAACCATGTGTAGGCCGTGTCTGAGCTCTGTTAACTTCACAAGAGGTGAAGAAAATCAAACTCAACATCAGCCCAAGTCCATTTATTATGAAGTGGAGGTCAAACATGCCTCTGCTATACATTAGTCTCTTTAAAATTAGTCAGACTTGCATAACAATTAAGAAAATTTAACCTTTGTGATTTTGTTTCTCTAGAACCTTACTCTCTAGGTACCACATGTTTTCTAGAAAAGCAAAACCAGTGAAGCATAT